AGAGTGTGATAGAGAGAATAAAATGAATTCCAAATATGCAGAATTATTAAGAGCTCAGTGATGTCTATCATAGAAATCTCTAAAACACAGTCTATTTAGAGACCATCCAGAGTATCAAACAGGCATCCCACCAGGGACAGGCACAGCACAGGCTGCAGACTGTGAAGGTATTAGGAAGAAAAAGGACCAGTCATGCAGTGTGCTCTGCAAAGAGACTTCTGGTAAAAACTGAGTTTGACAAGCTCTAATAATGATCCTAAGAATAATTAATGCTTTTACTCCTCCAGCACATTCCTCCCCAGAAGGCAGTGAATTAATGAATTAATGGTGAAGCCTCCCAGGCTTTTTTTTTTTTTTTTTTTTTTTTTTTTTTTTTTTTTTTTTTTTTTTTTTTTTTTTTTTTTTTTTTTTTTTTTAATTTTTCATTTTGTAGATAAGCAATTGCAGCTAAAGAGATGATTGCACAAAAATCCCATCTCCCATCTCTCTGGAAGATGCAGAAGCTTTTCCACCACCAAAAACAACTGTTCAACCTCAGCACCAGAAGAAATTTGAGTAGAGGACCAAAGTCCTGGAGCAGTGCCATGCAGTGGCATGGCCAGGGACTCTGCTGGACAGCAAGTGTGAGGGAGTGGAAGGGCACAGGCAGTTTGGAGATGCTGCTGGGATAAGATCCTTGTGCTGCTCCACAGCCTGGAGGGAGAAGGGAGCAGGAACCTCACCCTCCAGAGACCCCCAGCACGTTTCTGAAACACCTTTTCTATTTTTTGTGTATTTCTGTACTTTTTTTGTGTGCACAGAGTCAGATTTAATTTGTCATCCTGCAGTCATCACATCTGAAACAGATACAGCAAGAATTTAAGCTCCCTCATTCCAGGCCTTTTGCTTTAACCACAAGAACATCCATCTACACTATGTAAGAATCAGCCAGACCATGGGAACTGCATGATACAATCTACAAGGAATATTTTTAATGATGTAGCATTTTTGAAAGCAGATTATGCAAGGATACTCTTAAAAGGAAATATAATGTAATTTGGGTGTAGGCTCTGCAGAAAGACAAATATAATTAATTCTTATCTTTCCCTAACTGCCTCCTTTTTCACTGCTGTCAGAAACCCTGCATGAAAACATATGATTCTACACCAGTGACGCCTGCATCTTGCTCTTTACCAGATATGACAGTCTGCATGCAACATGGCAATCTGGGAACTCTGGAGGGAATTACATCAGTAGTTTGTGTCAAATTTCTATTTTCCGTTTCTATTAGGAAGGATTAATTTAGCATCCAAATCAATACGACTCTATAGCAGCATAGAATATGTCGGAGAAAAATTTACAAGGTCTTATCTCTGGCTCAAGGAACAGCTGTGGGAAAAAAAGGCAGAAAATAGGGAGCTCTCCCTATAGAATACAGTTAAACAGATACCAGTGTCAGTGCCTGAATGCTGCAACTTCAGAATTAGTTGCTCTTTGTTAATTCAAACTTTTAACAGTTGGAGTGTGGTGGTAAATAAAAGTAGCACGTTCCTCCTTACCAGTTGGCATCTCTAAACTGAGGTAGGGTATCCATGTAAAAGATTTACTTTATTTCAGGAACTCACTGTTGTCCTGGTACCAAGGACTGTCATGGTATGAAAGAGTAAATCCCAACAGTGCAGAAACCAGGGGGGCAGTAAAGCACTCAGAAACAGATTTCTCTTCTCATTTGTGCATCTACAGAGTAATTAAACAGAATAAAACAAATAGGAATCCTGCTTCAAAAATGGGCCTTCTGTAAGAGCTTTACTATGACAGCCAGGAAACCATTTTCCTGCAGCTCACAAGTGAGGGCTTCCAGTAACAGACCAGTCAGCTTTTCTTTTAAAGTTCTTTAAAGTTCGGTCATTGCATATTCATGCATTAACTTGCATTTCTCTCTACCTTGATGATAAACGACAGCGTATCTTAGGTAGTCATTTCCACTGGACTTGTGCTGACCTTTATCTGACTGGAATGAAAGAGAAGTCCAATGTCAACTTTAACCTTTCTACCCAAACCCACCATGGGAATGAACACATGTAAAGCAAATCTGAATGTGCAGTCAGTTAATCTTGGGCTTTTCCAGACTGGCTTTGCGCTGCAGTTCTAGTTCAGTCTGCTCAGAGGAGCAACTCGGATACAGGAACAGGTCCTGGTAGCCAGGGACAATCTGCATGCACAGAGTGGCACTGGAACATGCAACCTACTTCATCCTGCCAGCATCCTTGTGTGGAATACTATGGAAAACTACCACCAGTATGCCTTACTCACTGCTGGCTTCCCAAACCACGGGTTTTATCTTATCCCTACAGGATATTATCTGTATTAGCCAAGTATTTTGCTAATTTTACTGTTCTTAAGTACCATTAATAAATCTTATCATGGAGACTCTGATGAGGAATTACAGATCCTGTGGCTTGCCAATCCCACATCCCATCCTGGGAGTACCTGAAATAGCCAACAAAACATCTCAGTTACAGCCCAGGACCAGGTCAGATTTCCTGCAGCTGTAGCTGGCACAGCTCCCACCAGGCAGTGTTTTAGGGCCTCCTCCTCTTCTGGCACTCTTCTGAGATAAAACAAGAGCCAAAGCCCTGCTCATCTAGTCCAAGCAGTGGACTCCTTTGGAGAATGTGATACTGCCCATGAAAATAATCTAATAGTCTTTCAACAAAGCTTCTCAAAGTAAACAGTCCACTTTTGCTGAGACTGAACTTTAAATGAGGCATCTAAACAGCAAGGAGGAAGCAATGGAGAAGAAAAACTATTTTATCAATGGTGAAGCTGAGACTTCAATGTTACAGGTTCTCCGAGCAACCTTGTTTCTAATGAAAAATCAGAATTGTAGAAGTTGCAGAAAAGAGTTTCTTCAGGTTGACACAAAATGCATCACACTGAATCAGCTATTTTTTTTATCAAAATGCAGGTTAGGAGACAATGCAATTAAAAGTACAGATAAACTCAAGGGAGCCAGTACGGGGTATAAATGGACTTTCATTTCCCTGGAGAAACCCTCTAAAACATCCAGAAAGTATTAGTGACACCACTTAGAAATGATGGCCAATGCCTGAATAAGGGAAATGACTGACCATTGTCCAAACTGCTAAAGGAAATGGGGGATATTCCATTATTTGGTGTTTGCCTGTCAAAACTCTGTGCCAAGCTGGAAGTTGTCTCAGACAAACAGAGCTCACACCTAAGCTAAAAGTCAAACAGGATATACAGGGAGGTCAAACCAGATCCACTCATGCCTTCTACCCTTAAATCCTAGGATTGTAAGGAGGGAAGCAAATTTCCCCCTCCTCCTTCAGCCCTTAAGAAAAACAAGTCTTTTAATCTATTTAGAGGCCCTTTCTGACATTCTTTAGCTGCAGTTTTTCTCAATCAACCTAATCTTTTCCCATCAAGCTCCATGCTAATCCCATTTTGCTCCACTCCTTAAACTAATAAAAGATTAGAGTGACATTTCGGAAAGGGCATCGTATTAAGCAGCTTCTTTCCCATCTCAACAGATCACTGCAGTGCAGGATGCAGTGAACAGGCCATTAATCTTATGGTAATGAGGTGTCAGTGTGAATGGAGACCTCCTCCTTGATCCATAGGAAGGGCGAGGGAATAATGAGGACGCCGGGCGCTCGCCATCCCTGGCGGCTTTGCCAGGAGGCGGCGGGTCCACAAAGCGTTGTTGTGATGGTGGCAGCAGCTCTTGTCACCACACTGCTCTGCCATGCCAACAGTGAGCAAACATCCCCGCTGACCCCCTGCCACCCCCGTGCTGCCCACATGGAACGAGCTTTCCCCGTGCTCTAATTAGCGGCGTAAAACTGTTTAACAACTCCAGCTTTGCTCCAACACGAAATCAATTAGGATCAGCAGCCACACACAGAGGAGCTTTTCACACCTGTCCATCCAGCTGGTGGAAATCTCGAGCAAACCACTCCCTACATTCCAAGCCAGTGCTCTTCCTGGTGACATGCCTGCACTGGCATCATCCAAATTCCTTTTACACAGAAAGAATTTTTGCATTTTCTTTAACAAGCCACTATTCCCCTAAAGAAGTTGGCTCAAGTTTTACCAAGTGCTGAGAAAACTTTCTGGGAAAAGTAGAAGGCCCATCCTGGCTGGTGATATGTGGTGGCATCCATCCTGTCCCTTGCTCTAACAGGATGCTCTTCCTGTAGGAATTTCAATGCCATGAGCCCGTGCTGAACCCAAAACACTCCATGTGGTGGTCACAGCTCCATGTGTGCCCAGAACAAACTGGAGCAACAGGGATTAAAAATAACAAGCAGGGAGTTAACCTGTGGAGAGGGTTGCTGAAGGAACCATGGATGACAAGAGCAGCACATCTCTCTTTACTCCAGAAACACCTCTGTGCGTGGATTTCACTTATACACTTGCTTTTCTGTCTTGTGACTAATGAATGAAACCTTTGGGTTTGGTATCCTCAGAAGCCAAGTGTTTGAAGGTCAAATTATCCTACAATTTACCTTTGCAATTTGTGCTTTTTCATGGTTTGTGTAGTTACTACTGATACAGGCAAGAGTTCCTCTAAAATTATTCACCCTGTAGAGGAATTCCACCCTTCTCCTCCTATTTAACACAGTCTCACCCTGCAGTCACACAGTCACTGTTCTGTCTTGGTACAGTAAATTAATGCTAGATATCAACAAAGAAACTGATTAATTGGAACTATTTCAAGGACAAAATTCACCAGAAACTGAATCTTTAGAAAAAATAGATTTTTCTGTAATTGCAGTAGGACACAGGATCGCTGGTATTGCCAATAAATGTCAATTTTTAACCATGCAGCCTCTTGCTAAGTCTTTACTCTAACTTGCTCATCTAATTACGTGAATAAAAGATATACCTCGAAGTAAAATAAAAGGTTCTTCTCCCATGCACATTTCTTAGAAAAATCTTGCCTCTTCTCCATCTGTTTTGGAAATGAACTGTCTTGGCAAAGCTTATCTATTTACCTGTATACTGTGGTAGGTGGGGAATTCAGTGTGTCGTAGATGAGCCTCACGTGTCCTTGGTACAACTCCAGAGCCAAAGGATCATTGTCCCCTTTGTATAATAAGATGCCATTGTCCTTGTCCGTGGCTACCTGTGAAACATTAATAACCAGGTAAGGTTGCTTGGGAATGATTGGAACAGAAATAAGCCTATATTAAAAAAAAAAAAAAATCAGCCCAAACTCGTATGTGCAATTCAAGTATAATTTAATAAATCACGTACAGGTGCGACAACGAGAGCAAGAGCCAGGAGGTGCTGAGCTCCTCCCAGGCTTGCTGTGGACATGAGGAAGGAAAGAAGGACCTGTTCCCACATTTCACATTTATTTACTCAGTTATTAGTGAGTCATGCTGGTTTCAAATGGGACATTTAAGGAGTCAGGAGGAATAGGGTAGCCCTCATCCCTCTAGCTCCTGTGTACATCATGGGGAAAAAACTGGAATGTTGAATCAAAAAAACAAGGACTTCGCTTTCCCAGTCTCCATCTCTCAAATGTCCCTATAGTACAAAAAAGAGACAAAATAGGATTTTTGAATACAACCTGCCTGCTGTTAAATGCAAAAACTAAACAGCAGATTTAAAAATCTGTTTGGATTTATACATATATTTAAATACTATCCTTTTACCCTTAGAAGCTTTTATTTTTCTTGTGAACTTTTTAATACAATTTCTTCTATCTGTTCTTAATAATCAATGTTGCATTCTAATTTTAATTCACTAGTAATTAATTACTGGATGCAAGAATATTATCCAGCTAGGGAAACAAGTGAGAATGCCATCTGCATGTGCTTTCTGTAAGAATCAGTTTTATTCTTGAAGCTATAGCTGATGTAATGTGCTTTGTTCAGATTTCCAGCTTTAAAGTAGACCTACAGTATTTGGAGCCTTTTGGGAGCCATATTTTAGAGTGTCTGTACTTTAGAATCTCTTTAGTAATATTAAATAATAGAGGGCTTTGAAGAAAAAGCTGGAGTTTCAAATATGCATGAATCAGCCTGATTTTCATATGAGCAGCATATTCAAGCTATTAAAGAAAAGATAAATATTACTTACAAAATTTTGCCATTAGAATAAACTTTACAGGAACCACCCTTTAAAAATCTATTCCTAATGTGGAAATTCGGTCCTCTTTGCCATGTGTTGACATTGCTATTTTAATTATAACCATCTTCTTATTAGAAAACATACAAAACTAGAAATTATTCCCTCACTTATTTTGAAATATTAAGGGGAAAAAAATCAGTTTAATGCTTACTAGACTGTGAATGCAATTTCAAATCACTTAAATATTGTAGTGGAGGAAGTATCCAAGGTACTTTTGATTCACAACCACAAAGAAGACAGCAGTGGCCTGGCACCTTTGATACCTGTTTTCGATTGCCTTCTGAACTTAAACATCAAGCCAAATAGGCCTGTAACAAAATCCCAGTCCTTTTATTTGCTGAATGTCCACAGCAAAAGAGTAAGCAAAATATCGTCTGGAGAGGCCAGTTAGAGCAGCCTCTTTTACTAAGCATCCTAACACTCAAAACTGATTACTACAGGATAAAACGCAGTGCTGTGAATCAGTAAGAAGACAGGGAGGCTTCCTGAATCATCCCTGGTTGCACTGCCAGTCTGGGAATAAGAGAGTGGCAAGATTTTGGAGGCAGGATGTGTGCCCACAAAGGTGCACCGGTGCCTTAGTTGCTCCTTCCCATTTCAATAATTTTAGAGCAGACAAGTGGCTCACAAGTTGACTCTGACTTTTTCAGCATCTTGGCCAACAGCCCCTGGGCTGCTCTGCCTGACACACCTGGAGGGAGATGTTCGCCTGAGGGCGGATTTTGGCTGATGGCAGCTCCACGTAGGAGTCCTTCCCCACGAAGTTGACGGTGATGAGCTTCTCGCACCTCTGGCCCGCGAAGCCGGCGAGGCAGCGGCACACGGGCTCGTGGTGGGCGACGATGCACTGAGCCCCGTTCTGGCACTCGTAGTTGTCACAGGGGCTCGTCTGCAGCAGGACCATGGGCGGGGGAGTTTCGCAGAAAAGTCCACTGTAGAAGTAAAGGAAAGGAAAAGCAACCCTCAGTTACCACTGTTTTTTTTCAGGGAAGGAAGCGTTTTCAGATGCTGCCATCACACTGCTACTGGGGTTCACCTACCATGTGCCTGCTGGACTGTGTGAAAGCTTTACAGCTTAGTGCTGTCAGAAATCCCTGTGCTGGCCCTGAACGAGCTAGTTCAGATACTGAAAGCAATCTGTACTGCCCTTTGCACTGGTTATTTAGCTCTGCAAGGTACCACAGCCTGTCTGAAATAGCTTCCACCCACATGGTGCCCTGCAGAGGTTCCCAGCAATATCTGTGAGCCATTTAAACACAAACCTGAGATTTCCCCATCCCTGGCTTTGTGATTTGAGTCTACTCTGCTGTTGTAAGTGCCAAGCACCTCTGTTTTGAGTGGTTTTTACAGCCCCCCCACTTTGTTCACTGTATATTAGAGTGTATCACCAACAGATGGACAACTGCTAAAGGCCTCAGCAGCAATGCACTGCTACCACACTATCTGCTGGGCAGCCCCCCTGAACTGATGGTTTTTAACATCAGCAGGATTGTTAACTTTATGTTAGCTGAGTTTGTGATTGGCAATGATTGGGAAAAAGCAAAGGAAGCTCTACCCCAGTCAGAGGCAGCTGAAAACCAAATGCCAGATCTGAAGTGGAATCACACTGAGATCTGGAGGAAAGTGCTCTGCTTCAGACTTTACTGTGTGAGAGGCTGAGCAAAGCCCATGTGTAGGAACCTCTGACCTCCCAGGCTGAGGCCACGACACCCAGGAGCAGGGATGGCTCAGGCCCCGGGGCTGCCCTCCTGGCTCAGCGTGGCTGCACATTTCCCAGGGCACTGCCTGCAGTGGCTCAGCCACAGAGGAGCACTGACACCGTGTGAGGGCAGGGGAAAGGGAGGAAGAGCAGAAAGCTGCAGTCTTCTTTCCCAAAATCCCTCATTACAGCCACTGCACAAACCCAACAAACCCTTTTTGTACTGATGAGAGAACATAAACTCTTTGCATCAAGACCTGTGACTGCTTGACAACGTGACAGTAAAACGATGACAAGCTGGTGGAGAGGGAACATGCTGTGGGGAACACCACGGGGCTGGAGAGCTTTGGGAATGCTGTGGGATAGACAGATGTGGTGAGGGCCATAGGCAAGGGCTCTTACACCCTCTCTCTGTGTTGCACAGCACTCACCAGCGCAGGGCAGAGGGTTTACCAGGAAAGGATTGTGGCAGACCCATTCATGCAGTGAATAACCCATGAGCACAGTCCTGGAATCCCACTTGCCCCACGAGGAGCACTTTGTGGAGTAACAGCACTCTTATAAAAACAAAGCACAAAAATGCCAGAACCCTCACTCCTCTCCAGCAAGGCAGGTGAGACATGGAAGCTCAGGGAATTTCTAGGCAATGTTCCTAGATTCAATTAGATTGGAAACCCAAGCCATGGCCCTGCAGTAAATAGCACTGCTACAAGACATGCAAGAACAGCAAATAAACCAGCCACAACATACTCCAGACCAAGCTTGCTCAGCCCCAGCAGCCAGAACCTGCTGCCTGTGTAACAGCAGAGAATTGATTTTCTTTTATGTTTTTTCATGTTAAATTTTGCACAGAGCACCATGGCTCTATCTTTAGTGCTGTGTTTCCCTGCCCCTGTTCTCACAACACACACCACTCTCTGAGTCTGCCTCGGGGAAACATGAGAGAGAAACACACAACAAAATACAGATGGGATAAATCCTGAACTGCATTAGAGGCAGTGGAGCTGCTCTGCTTTTCTATCATGTCTGACAGCAGAGACATAGGGTCTAACTTCTATGAAAGGCAATCTTGAAGAATACCTTGAAAGATGCAAACATTTGGGATTTGCACTTGGGAGAAGGCCAGAAAAGCTCTCTTTTCCCCACACCCTCTATACAGCATGGAATACCCCACCAGCATCCTAACTTTGTCCAAAATTGCATTTCAACAGTTTTCTTGTTGCATTGCCCTAAAATTCCCTTATTCACCTCAAGGACAAGTGATGTTTCACAGCTGCCTCCCCGTGTCATCCCATCCCCTCCTTGGTGCCCTAAGGGTCAGGAAGCTTTGGGGGGAAGGTCTTTTTAGTTTTTATTTCTTATTACCCTTCTCTGACTTAATTGTCAATAAGTTCTTCAAGTCAGGCCTGTTTTGCCCGTGACAGTAACTGGTGAGTGATCTCTCCTTGCCCTTATCTCACCCCACAGCCTTCCATTAAATTTTCTCTCCCCTTTGGTGAACCCAGCACAATGGGAAATGCTTGTCTTTGCTCAGTCTGATGTGTTTCTCAAAGTAAATTTGTTCTTGGGAACATGTGTTTGTGGACACACCTAAACTATGAATTAGTTATAGATTCAGAGACTTTCTCTTCTAGGGCAAGATCCTTTGCTGCAGCTCCTTGGCAGAAACCCACAGGCTCCCCATTCCTGCAGGGTGAGCACAGCAGCTCAGGGGCACAGCACTCAGCAAGAGATGGCTTGGATTCCCCTTTCCAAGAAAACAAGGGAATATTACCAAAAAAAGGAAAAAAAAAAAAAAAAGGAACAATCTCATGAGAAGATAGATACACAGAAAGCAATTCTTGCCAGTTTAAGGCAGTTACTGCGGCAGTTTCCTACCAGCACAGCAGTCAGACCCATCAGAGCTGGTGAGCTGGGACACACCAGTGCCATGTCCCCACTGCCAGCCAGGCGTGGGAGGGGACTGCCTGACCAGAGCACATTCCTATTCACAGCCTGGTTTCATTAGGTGTGTGATCTCCCTCTCCAGGGCTGGGATCTGTGGCTGCAAAACACATCAGGAGAGCCAGCAAAGGGATCAGACCAGGTTCAGCCCCACAGGTGGCTGTCACCCAGGCTGGGATCAGCTGGAATTGCTTCCCTGAGGTACCTGGCACAACAGAGCACTGCTAACCCAGCCCCTGAGCTTAGTTCTACCTAATGCCCGCTGTTCTGTTTTGTCTCCAGCAGCAAGGAGAAAACAGAAGGAAAATTCAGTGTATAAAATTCTAATTTCACGGAAGTTAAAAATAATAATAACAAAAAAATCCACGTGACCCGCGACAGCCTCCACTAACAGAAAGCAAATGTTGGGAGAAGCCAGTGTGTCTGTGCTTGGTGTTGCTCTGAAAGGTTCCCTGAAGTTCCTGGTATGGCTCCTGCACACTCTTCCTTGCTTTGAAACCCTTCAGTCAGTGGCTTTACCAGTGCTTCTGTCCTGATAGTGGCACCTAGAAATGTCAGTAGCAACAGTGTCTGTCAAGCCCTTTTTCTTTTTCAGTTTTAAAATATTTTTTAAAGTACATATTTAGAAATAATTAACGTGACTTATTTTCTCCACTAGTGGAATGTGAAGCAAACAGCCTGACATGGCCAAGTCCATTCTGCCTGGTACGATTTCCTTTATTTAAATAATCACTGCTGAGTTTCTTGCAGCAATCTGTCCCAGTGGAGAACTCAGAAGCATCTGCACTGTGGAGGAGCAGTGCTTCCATCAGGCTCTGCAGCTTAATGTGTGCTTCCCCACCAGAGCAGCATTTATCAGGCAACACTACTGTGAGACTGATTGCTGGAGGGAAGCTTTGAGAACCTGGGTTTTATCCAGCAGGGCTCACAAATTCTCTCAAATGTTTTCGTCTGCAGGGGGTAAACGAATGCTATTTTGGGAAGAAAACACCGAAAACTTTTCAGGATGAAAGTATGTTATGAAGTTGCAAGAGGTTGCTGAGTGCTAAGGAGAGGTGCTGTGAGGAGCACAAGCACATCTGACCAGTGAACTGGATATGGTAAGTTGGGAAGGCAAGTGTGTGCATGTTGGCACTATTGCTTTTCAGGGCTGTCATCACAGAGGTGTCACTGTGTGTGAGGCCCTACCTACATTGTTAAAAATCACCCAAGTGCCATTTGTTCAGCCCTGTGAGGATGTAAGTTTTAACATCCTTATTAATATGAGGCTCAGAGTGGCTTTGACATACAGTGTAGTGACAACCATAAAATTGTTATAGGTCTGTGCACTTATTACAACAGCATAAGCTCGGGGATAATTGGGAGGGCACTCTGGAAACTCACTGCTGGGAAATGATTCCTGATACTTAGCCAAAAAAACTTCATTAATCATCATCTTAGGTCTTCTAGTTACCTTTGTCAGACCACTCCTTATGTTCTCTCCTTTTCATCAACACTTGCAGCCTTCAAACACTTGCAAAGTTATCTCCTTGCCACACATCCCCGTGCCCGAGGCAGCTCTGAGAAAGGGGAGTCTGTAACCCTGAACATCAGAAGGCTGAACTCTGTCAATCACCACATTTGCAATTGTAATCTTAACAGGCAAAAACCCCAAACCTCAGAACCCCCTTCAGAGCAGCAGGCCTTTAAACTACAAAAGGCTGGAGTCATGGGAAGAATAATGAGATTGTATTTTGTCAGCAGAATTTTAATCCTGAAATCAAACACGAGCAGGGACTACTCTGCATGGAGAACACAGAGGCTCCAGCTTGCTCTCTGCCTTGGCAGAGGGAATATGGTAGCACTTTTTCTTCCAAAAGACCCTTGTCTCCCTTGCATCTTGCACAGAAAATTTAGGGAGGTGGCATGGACTAGTGGAAAAAAAAAACAAAGCAAAGAGGAGAACTCAAGTTAATCCTGGCTGTGCTGATGACAGGCAGCAGGATTATTTTGCTTGCCCACAGTGCCTTGGGCTATGAAGGGCTGTCTAAGCTGGCAGCTGAGTTCTGGAGTTTTGTGTAGAAAGATGTTTCCTCTGCTTAGAGGAGTTTTAGTGGAATGAAACCCCATCATCTGAGCAATGCTGGGCTGTTCTTGTCCTGCTCTTGAAGCCCCTGGGGTGAGACCAGTCAAGCTGGGGCACTGCTTTAATTGCCAGTAGGACTGTTTGGTAGATGGCAAGGGACCCCTGCTGCTCCACCCAGTGGTGTCACAACTCAAAACATGTCTACCAAACACTGTGACTCTGCTTTCCCGGAAAAAAATCCTCACATTCATCACTGCCTAGTACTGACAGGCCTTAAAAATCAGAGGACATGCAGCTGAAGCCTCCCAGTCACTTCCATCTGATGACAGGCTCAAGTTACCCTTGACTCCAGATGTGGCTTTGCAATCCCATTTCTCAGCTCTAACAATTAGATAACACTGAGGATTTACAATCCCACTGTGGGACAGTCACAAGTTAGCCTTACCAGTCACCAATCTTCAAGATCCCCAAGGCCATCAAATGGATGTAAGCAGTGTGTGAAACATGGAGAAAAGGGTATGGATTGAAATTCAGAGGATATCTGATACCCTGTAAATAACGAGTCTGATTCTGCGAACCATGGGCTGACATCATGCTATATATCAATGCCTTCTCAGGGAAGGCTGTCTGCTTTGCAACAAAAATGTGTGTTGAGAGGGGAAAAAACCCCCAAACCAGCAAGGATGAAAGCAAGAAGAATGAAAACAGTTGCAGATACAAAGCAGAGAAGATGATTTATAAGTGTTCACGCAATTTCTGCTTTGTCAAGACTGATCTTTTCAGGTATTCCTTCTTTGTCTTGTGTGTATTTCAAACACAGACAAGGTTTAGCTGGAAGGAAGCCAGTATCCAGCCTCAGGCAATGATTAGTGAATCTATTTGGAGGAGCACACTTATCTTTGACAGACAGAGAGATTTCCAGGAGTCAGATATATTGGCAGCTGTCAGAATGAGAGACTGGAAATTTACAGCCCCAATCACCACTGAGCTCATCCACCAAAAGGCACTGGCACAAAATTTTCAGACTCACAATTTCTTGCAGCCAGGCCTGAGGGTTCATGCCTGCAATTTTATTCTTCTTCACCCACTCTGCACGTGCTGGGTTTATCTCCGTATGATTCACATGGGTGTGCTAAGTGTGTTACCAGGGGCAGGCAGGCAGACTAACCCAGCACTGCTCCAAAGGCAAATTGCTGCTTTCCCAGCCAGAATTGCAGCCCCCTGGAGCCAGTTAACTTGTGAAGACCCCACCCAGGTACAGAACTTGAGGCACTGAGCCACCCATTCACAGGGCATTGACAGATCAACGCTCTAACCAGAGGATGAAAGCACTTAAAGGAAGCGCCCCCACACTCCACGGGACATTCCAGGGAGGAGCTGCCTCCCTCGTACCTGAAGCCCTGGGGACAGACACAGGTGTAGCCATTGACAGCATCCACACACACAGCTCCGTGGCGGCACTTGTGGCCCACGCAGTCGTCATCGTCGACTTCGCAGTGCTTGCCGCTGTAGCCCGGCAAGCACTCGCATCTGCAAGGCAAGAGGGTCGCTGTTAATGGCTTGTTTCCACAGTCACAGCAGCAGCACACGCAGGCAGCCCAGCACCAATCTGATCTGAGGTGGGGAGGGGTCAGCAATTACTGCTGGCAGCACCAAGCAGGATTCCTGCCATCAGAAACGCTCTGGTCCCTCCTGGCTGGCTGCACTTGAGGTTCGGCAATCTGCTGAAATTCAGTCTGAGCACAGCAACACCCTACTACAGCTTTTCCTCAGCCAAGTCTGTGGAGAAGGGTGATCATCACACAGTTGTCTTCCAATTGTGCTAAAGATGACATCTCCCCTAACCTCACAGACTCGAAGGGCAATATTCTGCCACGGCAGTGGCTCTGATGCCCCTGACTCTGTTTTTGTGGGTGCTGAGAGTCTGAAGTTGGCCCTGTGCAGCTCCACGGAGCACAGGAAGGTCCTGCCTTCCAAATGGAAGCAATCTGCAAACAGGCCATAAAATTCAGCAAATCTAAAGGAAAAGACTATTGGTTTTGAGACCACCACCTGTTTGCCATTCAGCTGCAAGGCAAAATGCTGCTGCAGCTATTGGAAAGTTGTCTTTGCAGCCAGTCCTTTCCTGTACCTGCAAAGCCTCTACCTGCTGCTGTGGGGGAACTCTGTTCACAGGAACATCCCCATGGGATGTACCCAAGCCTGCAGACATTGCCTTTTGATTTTAGACAATTCTCAAGTTAGCTGTACGAAAGCTGCATCAGCATTTCTATTTATAAGAAGTCTTGCAGAAGTTTATAACCTGACAATAGAAAATGCATCCCAAAGTCTCTGACTTGGATCAGATCTTTTTGGGATTGCTGAGCAGCCTTTTTTTTTTTGAATCTATACTGCAGACAATGTTTAGTCATGAACACTCTTTAGTCCATAAAACACATTTTACTCCTCCCAGTTGGATGTTGTTGCACATCTGGAAAACAAAAGGCAAACCACTTCAACCAAAACAAAGGAAGAGCTACAGTTAATTTAGCAATAAAAGAGAGGTCTGTGCTCTTGCTAGAGCCCCATGGTTGGACTCACAGTGCCTGCCACTGAGAGCTGAAAGAGGAGAGACATTAGAAAACTGAGGGAGGCAGCACCAGGAGCACAACTACTGCTCCATCAATCTATTCCTCCTCCTCCTCCCTGCCAGCAGCCTGGTGGGGTAAGTGCAGGAGGAAGCACCTTCTTCAGAGGAACTGGACACATGGGAGCGATGAGGGAAAATATTTCCACTTTGCAGGCGGCAGTCACTGTGCTGACTTTGGTTCCCAGTGACAGTGTGTGGCTCCTGGCCACTGCCCAGCTCACCAGGGCAAGGCAGCGAGGTGGGAGGCATTGCCAGAGTGCAGCAGCACGTCCTGTGTGTGCCAATGGCCAGGGAGCAGCTGCCACAGCACTGGGGCTACTGCAGCCCCTGAGCTCAGGCACTGAGAATGTGACCTGCAGTCTCCACTTCAAAATGTGGCTTGAGGCTGGCTAAAACAGGGGAGCAAACTGTGCATCTGTGGCTGTCGGGTGGATGAGGTTGGGCAGATCCATACACTTCTCATCTCCTCCCTCTCTGCAGGAGAGGCCCCACCACAACCCTCCACGGCCACAGGAGGGTTGATGTCCCAGCTCTGCACACCTGAATTGCTTTTTTTACACCTTGGTGGCTCAGGGAATACCGTGATTAACATGCTGGAGATGACAAAACAGAGCAAAAAGCAAAAGGTGTTCCTTCCCCAAACCCTAAGAAGTGGGCAGCATTTTCTGGCAGCACTGCAGTCACACCTGCAAGGAAATAATGTCAATCAAAGGACTTTGTAGGGGGAATTGGCAGCGTTTAATCCTGTTGCTTTTTATTGATCCCTGCAGTCCTAATATAAAGTGATGTAATAATGAACGATGTGCAGTTCCTTATTCGGGGCTGCCATGCATCAATTTTATGATGTGTATTGGCTATCTCAGTAATGACAGAACCACCACTTTTCTCTGCAGGGCTGCATTAAATCAGCATTTTAAGCTGTCAGGTAATAATTCCAAGCTTTAGAATAATAAACTATATTTATACCATGCTCCAACATCAATACAGTGAATGGAAAAACATGCTTCTTTTCTGAAGTGTTGTTTTTTTTTTTTTTTTTTTTAAAGTAATTTCATTGTGTTAAATAGTATTTTTGGTTGATTTTTGTCTTGTTTTGTTTTCTGGCATACAGAAAGCTACTCTTCTGCTATAGTAACAGCACAATAAAGATGTGGAGGCTGGAAGGGAGAAAAGCCACCTGCGATTTTAGCTCAGAAAGCAAAGAGCTCTGTGCAGCCAAAGAGACACTGAAACAGTCCAGTTTGCTTCCAAGTTTAGCTTTTCCTTTAGAAAGGTGGAATTCCTTTTGGGTCAGTCCCCTCTGAGCTCTTGGTGTGTCCCAGCTAGGCTGAAGCTACCACAAAACACCTGCCTGGAGTGCAGCAGGTGAGAAATTCACCCCATGAGTTCCTCACCCAGACTCTTCCCAGAAAACCACCCCAGGTGTCTCCCTCCCCAGGGAATGACGGCATGGTAGCTCCATCCTTATCCCACACAATGCTAGCAAGGGACTAGGTATCAATCAGTAGTAGTCAGATGCAGTAAAGAAGGTGGCAAAGAAACCTTCATGTTCAAATCCTGGTAAGAGAGTAATTTATGTGATTAGATCAGTTATCTCATTTCCCACTGACCACCTGACACCACTACCGTTGAAATCTTGTGTTCTGTTACAGCTCTGTGGTGATGGCAACACTCCCAGTATCAGAGAGAGCCTAAAAACACGTCCAGTAGTATTTAAAATCTTGGCCTATCCAAGGGCATTTGCATCTGCACTCAATGTCTGCTGCATTAAAGCTGTGAATCACGGCTGCTATTGCAGGGCCAGAATAGAATTTCCCTCCCCAGATCAATAAATAACTTGGCTACCTATTTTTTTTCCCGTCTTCATCATCTTTTCTTCCCTCTGCAGAGTTCTGGACTGACTAGAGCTGAGGGCAGGACAGACAGACTGACTGGTGTCCTTGCTGCCACCCTCACTGGTGTGTCCTACTCACAATGCCCAGGGCACAAACAGCTCAGGAACAAGCCTGAATCCTGCCATTAATATTCCCTGCCTCTGCAAGCAGACAGAGGACTGGTACCTGAGCTTGACTCCTTCTACCTGCAGCATTATCCTGCACCATGACAGCCTAAGTGGATGGAACATCCCAGGTCAGGAGATCAGGCTGCCCAAGGGATCAGCTACAGCACAGGACCAGAGCTGCTGGTTTCAGTGAGCCCCAGCAGCAGCCACAGCTCACTGAGGGCTCTCAGCCCATTTCTGAACGGTTTGGTGCCACTAAAGCATGAAAGATAAAGCAATACTTGCACAACTCTACATTCAAGGCTGGGCAGGCACCTTCACCTCTCAATTCTGGCTGCTAGAAAGCAAAATGGGAGAGGAGGAGTAAAGAAATCAGGGATTTTTCTGCAGCATTCTGTGAATAGTGGAAGGAATAACATGACAAACAGTATAGAAAAATACCTTATTTCTAAATTTAGACTTTTTTTTTCTATATTATTTCTATATATAGTTTTGCTATATTTAGAAAATACTCATAAGTAGTTATTTAGGCTCCCCTCAAGGGTTGATGGCCCCACTGTGAAGAACACTTTTCTAGTAAGTATGTGAGAAAAAGTGTCTTATTTACTCAAATTATTTGGGTGGCAGGTATGAAAATGCTTGCAGCAAGAGTAAAACCATTCAGGGCCAGAGATGTCTCCATCTCTTCCTTCATCTCATAACATGATGCAGCTACTGGATTAACCAGATGCTGGATTGACTAGGCATGAAACCTGGAAAGAACATCAGGGACTATTTATGTACCAGCACACAGCTCCTTATCCTGGTCATTTCAGGAACCACCCTAATCATTTAATAGCTTCATCTCCCTCAAGATTTGGAAACATTTCTGCCTGGAAGCTTTTCACCCAAAAGAAAGGCCTGACTGGCCAGCTGCCCACCATCTCTGAAATTCTCATTCATTTCCTTTTAGCCCTCCTGAAAGATCCTGTGTATCAGTTTACACTATTCTGACAGTCTGGTGGCTTCACAGGACACAATCTGACCCCAGCTGACCCCAGGAAGACCAAAGACCACTCCTCTCCTGGGGCAATACTGGGTGTGCTCCACAGAATCCCAGGAGGGAGCACCCAGGACTGAATGATGGCTGGGAGAACAACCTTAAGGGAAGGTTCAGAATGCAGCTCACCCTGCACTGCACTCTCCTGGATTTGTCTCTCTTTATTACTTTGATTCAAAGATCTTTTCCTGACAAACTTTCCACAGAGCTTGGCTTTTCAAGTGGCTGTCTCCATTTGCTAAATTGCTCTGAAATTCCCTCTCCACACAAGAGATGAGCACTGCTGCTGTGCACCTCTCACAACTCCCCAACCTTCCAGATGTTTTACTGCCATTTAACACACGAGCCTTTATTTTGTCCCCTGTGAAACAGGCAGTGTCATTCCCAACAGGCAAATGCAAACACAGAGTTCACCAAATCCCACATGAGCCAAGCAAGGCCAATGGAAAAGGTGGGTCCTGAGTGAGAGCCCTCCAGCTCTGGATCTGTTAAGGCTCCTGTTATGCTGCTTGAATTTATAAATGCACTAAGGAAACTGTCCTTGGCTTCTGATGCAGGTTAAGATACTTTGCAGTGATTGTTCTGTAAGTTCTCCTTTTGCCATGCTCTCTTCCAGAATAATTTCTCTGCTCTGAGGGTACATTCATTATTTTCAGGTAAACCACAGAAAGCTAGAAATGTATGTAATCATTAAAGATAACATGTGACACGGTCTGAAGTATATATAGTCTTGCATTATTTGAGTTAATTTTGGTGATTTTTGTCCCCAACTCATTGCCAGTTCAACCCCAATGGATGGATCTGCCCCGTGTGCAGAGCCCAACACGTGCTCACCTGGTTCCTTTGTCAAGGGGAACACATTTGGATTCGTGTTGGCAGGGGTTTAGGTCAGGAACACAGTGGTTGATCACCTCATCACACAGCTCACCTGAGGAAAGAGAAAAGCAATAAAGCTGTCACACAACCCTGAACACCCATGGTATCCAGGGATGGCCAATCTCCCTCAGTGGAGACAGCTCAGTAGTTCAGCAGGAAGTGACAATACAACTTGTTGAGACTTCATTAAATTGGGCTCCCCTGACCTGCAGTGACCGCAGTGTTTCTGTCCCAGGGATTTGAAAGGCTGGTATAGAAAATACTGACATGTAAACTCCACTCGGAGACAGACAAGGGATCAAACGGGCAGTTCCCGACCCAGAACCTCTTATTTCAAAGCAAGGAAGTGACACAAAAGTGAAGTTGCTCATTAGACCGTAACATTTTCACACGGACACGTATTTTAGCCACAGTTAATCCTCTGCCAAAGGAGTCAATTGGACATCATTCTGCAGAAGAAAAACAACCCACAAAGCCTCCCCCCTCCCGAACCTCTGTGACTCTCCATAATAGGAACCAGCTTTAGGGCTGCATGTAATTATAAAACATTCACTATTTATAAGAGAAGTACTAGCTCCATTGTGCTCACAGGGGATGATGTCTTTTCAGAAAAAAAAAAAAATCCATCACATGTAAGCTCAGCTCAGCTGTTTCTAGGTATGGTGTGTAACATGCCATGAACCTCCCTGGATTTGTATAAATTTTAATAATTAATAGCTGCAGAATGTTCAAACCCAGATAGTTTATTTAAATACAATCCTTCTCTGAGTCCTAAATTATTAGGTCACACATCAGTACCCCAGGATCTGAGACGCAGCCAAAGACCACAGAAATTGTTGCCTTCCCCAGAATCCAACCTACCCCACACCTCCCAAAGCCTTGCAGGAAAAGCAAAGGTCAGGTAGTCTCAACATGGAAACCCTCAAAAGCTCCAGTCCCAAAGTCCCAATGTGCAGCTCTATCAGAAGAGCACATCTGCAGGGTTTCAGGGTTATACAGATTTTCTGTGCCTGTACACAGCACATACCATCACATAAGCAAACAGTGGATAGTGTGGGAAAAAGGATAACGTGGGAGGCACTGGAGGGCTGGCAATGTTCTGGCAGTGTTTTCATGGAGCTGCAGCTCCACCTGCCTTGGAAGAAACTCAAAAATCCTTACATTTCTCTACACTCCAGTGGCTATGGAGAAACACTTGAAAACACAAGCCAAGCAAACCACAAAGGTCAAATTTCAGATGGAAAATGCAAATCAGAACCATCCATCTCTTATCAGTTTTGTGATGTGGCAGGGGTGACTGAGAGCACAATTTTGAGGATGACTCTGGTGCTGATAGGTATGGTTTAAGTCGTTAACTGCCCCAGCTGCTAATGCTCAGTCAGGTTATTTCTCCCACATGTCCAGCCTCCCTACAGTACAAGCTACATCTCTCTTGGTAAAACCCTTCATATTAGAAGGGAAGTATTATATGTGTTTGCAAAAATCACCCAGTCGTTTTTGTGTGTTTCAAACGTGGAATATCTGCTATGCCTTCTTTTGAGAGCTCTCAGGCATAAATGAGACAGTGGAGCAAGAATACAAGCCATGAGAGGGGGCACCACCGCCACAAACCCTGTACCCCCTCGTGACTCATTAGTGGGCTGGGTTTGGCAATACTGGGGAGGTCTGGCGTGGCAACCTGCAGTTTATTGTTCGTAGCATCAGTTTTAAGACTCCCACTTCCATCTGGAGCCAAGGAATCCCAGGAAGTCACCACCATGAAACACTTCCAAGACTTTTTACAGCCCTGCAGAAATCCTGGGCAAATGTAATGAAGGCATCCAGCTCAGAAAAGGGGAAATGCCAGTGAAACTGAGCACTGCAGATCCATGGGAACCAGGGAAATAGAGCATTCACTGGCCTTGAGGTTTGCCAAGGTACTTTATTACTCCTCAAAAGCAACTGGAGATGCTCAAGGCGTACCACAATAAACCAGTCTGTCACTGGGGACAGCTATTAACACTTTGAAGTGGCAGAACTGGAGATAGGTTTATTTACTGCAATCCCCAAATCCACAGCCCACCAACCCTCCCAAACAGTAACAAGCAAGGGGACTCCCTTGGACCTGAAGAGCAGCAGGTCAGACCTTGCTCTGATGCCTGGAACAACTTCCAGTTTGTCATCTCGGAATTCCCCACGTCCCTTGGGTGCTACGAATCTTATGTGAAAGTAAACATGAAAAAAACCTCTAATTGGCTGGTGACATTAAAAGGACTCAATGAGCTAAAGCTGGAAATATTTCTGGAAGACCATTGAGTACCTGAATACAGTGTGGATAGATGCCTTCAACTATGCTCCCACTGAAAATGGTCAATACATACTTTTGAAGTTTCTTTTTTTTCTGTTTTGCTTTGTTTTGAAGAAAAGGAAACAGGCTTTAAAAAAATATGAACAGTTTCAAAACTCTCAAAGGAAACCATAATTCTTCTTAAAGTATTCTTCTGAACAGTCTTGACAAGTGCTTAGAGATCCAGTAAAAAATCTCCCCAAATGTCAAATATTATGACTCACTGTGTCACTCTAAAGACACCACTATCAAAATGTAGGAGAATTCTAGGCTAGGTACCAAACACAGCATCCAAAAAAATGATATTTTTCATGCAAAACTTGGAACATTTAAGGATCCTTCCTGTTATTTTTCCCATCTATCACTCATTAGGGAGTTCACTTGGGAACGCCTTGCAACTAGAGCAGCCTCATCTCAGGAAGAGAATACTTCTGGGTCATTATTTCAGGCCCCACCAGTGTTCAGTAGACACTGCAGAAAGCATGCCAGGGAAATAAAACACTTTCTGAAAATAAAAAAAATAAACCCAAGGCACCAGCTACACAAAGTCTTTCCCTCCCACATTTTATCCACTCAGAAAATATCTGGGCCAAAAAAATCTGCCCTCAGACCTGAGAGTGCAACATTCATTGGTCGCTTTAATGCCAGTATCAGAGGAAAAATCTGATTTTTTGGAGTGACACAGAGCTGCTTCTCTGTGCAGCAATGAAAAGGCCAGTCCAAGTTTCTCACTGGATAGTTATGTGAAAACCTAAAAACAAACTGGACATTCAGCCTAGGCCAGCTCCTAGCAGCACTGATTCTCTTCGTGGAAGATATTTGATTGTGCTAAAACAAGAGAAAACTTCAGTGTAATGCTTTCCCAAATGTGGAAAACAATCTGACCTCCTCTCCATTTTCCTCTCTCCTACACGTTCTCAAATCAGAGCTCTAGTTTGGGTACACATGGGTTTTTGAAGTGCTTATATAAAATGGACTGAGAAACCGCAGCTATATTTCTTTTTTAATCAGTTAAGCATTTTTTAGTCCTAAATAATGAAGGAAGCACTCTGATCTACCACAAAAAAAAAAAAAAAAAAAATTGCAATTTTCAGACTGGAACCAAGGTATACTGAGAGGTGGAACAGTAACAGGTGGATCTGCCATTGCTGCTGACTCATGAATTACCAAAAAAAAGGGGGAAAAAAAAAATCTCCAAACAATAGCAAAGGTACTGCCCTTTCAAAACCACCTCCCTTGTCCCCTTCACCAGCACTGATTGTTGTCTTAAAAACCCAAAAAAACCACAGCAAAACTTTTTTTTTTTTTTTTTGCCTCATGCAACATTTTCCTGGTCTTATTTTTCAGCAAAATCCTGAATTTCACGGGGCTTTCCGCAGGGCTCACTGCTTATGAAGAGCTGCCAAGAAACATGCTTAGGCTTTTCTATAGCCTTCCCCACGTCTCAGAACGAAGCCAAAACAACAATAGAGCAATAAAGAGGACTTTTACACACAGTTTAATAATCATCTTTCTTTTTTCCGTTCTGTGCTGTCATGAGAGCCATTTATTTCATGCCCCATTAGACTTTTAAAGCCAGGATCCAAGTTACACTATTTCTCCTTAATCAGTAAAAGAGAAACTGGATGCAGTAAAAGTATTTTACTTATTTATCTGTAAGTGGAACTGCAGTTCTGAAAAGACAATTCAGAGTACCAGTTTGCAACCAATGAGTTCAACGATTTTTCTTTTGTTCCATATGTCACTTTGGTGATACTTTGTTCTGTCATTCAGAGCATTCAAGAAATAACTGATGAAGCAACAGAGAAAATATTCCTGTCCTTAATGCTAAAGAAGTAAATTTTAGCAGGGCTGGGAAGAAGAGCAGTAAAAATGCTGTCGAGAATTTCACAATATTACTTGAGAAAAGGAACGTGCCTGCAGTGAGGAAAGGATGGGGAAAGCCTGGCCTGTATCCACAGAGAAAATATTTCCAGGCTGGACAGGGTGAGTGCTTAAATAGTGTGTTGCAATGTTCTGAACTTTGCCAGGTAAGTCAGAATGGAACTCTTGTCTTTACTGCTAATAAAAAAATCCTGTGCTGTTTTTCTCCTAAGAGATTGCTCACTTGATATCTAATAATTTGTGCCGGAAGAAAAGTCTTCCCTATCTTGTTTTCCCCTGCTCTCTTTTCAGTCATTAAAAAGAAGTCAGCGCCAATTTCAGAACACTGAACCCAAAAATGGTTGGGCAGAACAGACATAGGATGTTCCTCCAGGAATGTAATTCAGTAAGGAATGTTGTTGATGTTTGATGAAATTGATTTGAGGCTCATCTTAGAAAATAAAAAAAAAAATTAAAAAAAGAATTTTTTTACTTCCAAGCTGTTTCAACTTGCAAAGAACAAACGAGAAACTCTGTGAAAATCCTTCTGTAGCAAATGCTGCCATGTTAGATATCAAAACATAAAGGAAATTACCTGGAATGCACTCTAGCAGAGTTCTCTCTGTAGGATTACTGAAGTTTGCTCTTGCTTGATCAACACTGCCCATAATACTTAGCAGGCAAGGAACTAAGAGTTACTTTGTGCTTTTTATCCTGGGTTAGTTCTTAAAATCTCCAGAGTTTTCACTTACCAAGTTTTGACCTGTTAAGTGGGAACCTGAAGTTAGATTCTACATCGAGATTCCCACAGTGGCTTGTTTTTCAGAATCAAGGAGCAATTACCTCTAAACTTGAGGTTTAAC